GAGCTAGTGGGGACGCTGTCTGCTCTGTGGTACAGAGTCCTGATGACTTGCTTGGGGGGCGCTTCACCTTTCCCACCCACATTTTGGTATCTGTCTGGGGCAGGGGTGTCAAACTCACCTGCAAAAGAGGGCCAAAATTAAAACCTTTTCTAAACTAAGGGCCATTTTCATAATTTACATTAACTCAAGTTAGATACCAAACATCTTTACTTGGTTGCAGGTTCCTCAAAAAAAAAAAAAAAAGAATTTGATTGGTCTCATTTGACATTCTCTGTTGCAGTTTGGACATCATAATCAAAGATTACTGAAAAAAAAATCAAGTGAAAAAAGTATTTTATGTTTAACATATCTTGGGGGCCAGATAAAATGTCAGCGAGGCCCTGGGCCTTGAGTTTGACATATGTGGTCTGGGGGATTGAGCCAGTGACCTTCCAGTCGCAGGCTTGCTTTCTCTAGTCTGTGTCACCACTCCTCCACCCCCTTACAATCATTATAATATTTTTAAAACAGTATTTGACTACAGATTTTAACCCTGGCAACATTTAAGAAAACATTTGCTATTAACAATTATTTTAAAGTTTAGTTCTTTATTGCTTGAAATATCACATCAAGGCCCTTCACTCACTGTTTAATGACCATAGCTGGGACTCGACTTCAATTTTGAAAACCGGATGTTATTTTCTACGTTTGTGCTTTTATTTTGAAAAACGTCAGCGGAAGTTGACCATTTCATTTCACAAGAAAACAACCCGGAAGGGAAAGTCTAGCTTCTCGGCTCAAGTCTTACTATTTAAAACTTTATTTATTTGAAAGTTGAACCGTGTTTATTACTAAACGTGGCATTTTACAGACGTCATGTTAAAGTAGCGTGAATATAACCAGTGGTTGAAGGTTAAATAAACAGGAGGACAACGGAAGTGTGAGACGATCTGCGTTTTCCTGTCAGAAGGATGGATCCAGACACAGGAACACACAAGTAGGTGATGGTCACATTTACTAAGACAGCTCTGTCATATTTGTTACATGT